TCTTCAATTTGCGGAAACCGACCCTGCTGTGGTCCACTGAAGCCTTTGCGTGAAGCTTTGCTATCGACAATCTTCTGCTTTTGTTTCCGCCAGTCCCGCACGCACGTTTTGGGAACTCCGAACGACCGCAATTGCGGCCCGATTTCCGTCCGTTTCGGCACACGCGATGACTTTTTTTTTACAAGTGGCATCGTGGTGCACTCGAGTTTTTGGAGTCGGCCCTTTCATGCCGTCGATGCTAATGCACACCAAGATGACAAACTCCTCAGCACACGTACGAAGTGCCCCACATGGGAAACACATAGGCAGAAACGGCCGACGCGCCATGCCGACGCACGTAGGGGGCGGCCATTTTGGAAATGCCGATGGCAATAGAATGACCGTATTTTTTTTTTCGTACTCGATTCTAACGCGCATGCGATTTATGAACTCGCTTAACCGGAAAAAAGGTGCACGTTAGATTCGAGTAATTACGGTATGCCCTGCCTAGATAGCCGAGTGTATATGACGCTTGCCTTCAGATCGTGGGTATGCAGATTAGAACCCTGCCACACAAAAAAAAAAAAACTTTTTTTTGTCCCAAACTTCTCTTCCTTTTCTCTCCCATCAGAAATATTGCATCTCACGCCGGACAAATCGGCGCTTGTGTTCTGGGAGCGAAGCATATGATGAAGCAGACAAAGAGAATACACGCCAAATCATGATGATGATAATTTCTGTTGAAGGACTAATGGGGATGTCCAAGCTTGAACAGCTGCACTTTTAATGGAGTCAATATTTCAATGTTGCCATAACACATCCCAAGAAATATTTTACCAAAGCGAATCTGAGCCCTCACAATCGCATGCTCTACTACGTTTTGTACAAACTTGGATAAAAATTTATTGAAGCATTTATAAAAATTTATAGAAGCATTTATTGCAAGCGAGAACGCTGCATACAGAAAATGGCTGTAAGCGATGACCAGCCGAGACACTCGGAAGTTTCTTTACTTGACTATTTAGACGACAGAATGGTACCTGGCGGATTGTGCGATCCTGCTAAAGTATGGCTACATGACGCCACTTCCATGACATCTACTGAAGATAAACTTTCTTTGTGAGGCTTTATAAACATCACATAAAACAAAATTTAGCTGGTGCAGCTCGCCACTGTCACTGCAATAGTGCTCTCATGGGACACCAAGACACAGTCCACCCAATCAATATAGGAGTTGCACTTACAATTAAATCCATCCAAGATTCAACTTTGTGAGCAGTTGAAAAATAAAAAAGGGTTAACGGTTAGACATTTACATGGGGAAGCACTAGTTACCCTTCATTATGTACGTAAAAGAATTGTAATTAACTGCATAATTAGCACGTTCACCTATTGAATGCGCTCAATAGCCCAACTGAAGCACCATAAGGCTTCGTGTGCAGCTTGGTACATCATTGCTCTGCTTACTGAGCCAGACTGATATGCAAAGGTCAACAAAAGTTTCACACGTCCGTGTCTTTTCTACTCTTTTGCATAACAATACACTTCAATCCACAAAATGAAATTCAAGCTCTGTCAATCTCAGATGAAAGATTCCCGCCAACAGCCCTTTCTTGTTGAAGCTGTAATGTGGCTCCATCGAATAAAGCAAGCAGAATGACTCTGAGCTCATGTTTAACTAAATTTCAAGTATTTAAATAAGCTAGAAATGCAACTTCCTTGAGCCAAGTTTACCTCTTCACAAGTTTCATTTTCAACATGACAAAATGCAGCACTAGCTGTTCTCATTGTTTCAATATACATTTCATTAATTTCTATGAGCTTTCTTTTTTCAAAATCTTAGTGCAGTGTAGACTTCGTTGTTTGCAGGGATTAAAAGTCGGCTGAGAATTTTATACCAAATAGTGCAATTAACATCACTAACTTTGCATAACTTTCACAGAAAAATGTTGTGTTCATTAAACAAACAAACACAAATTTGTACAATGAAGTACTCACACGAATCAACACAAGGTACTGTGAAATATTTCATCTAGCAGTAACATGAGATTGCCCTTATGTTAAAACCTGAATATGAATAAGTTGAAGAAATTTACAACTTCTTGTAAGACAAAAATTTTGTGGTCAGTGAAATTTGACCTTTTATATAAGCAAAGTACAGCTGCCTATGAATTCTTCTCTACACAGAAGGCGCTAAAATAATGATACAGTAACAGAGCAGTTAACGAAAATCCAACTTAAATACAGTAGACTCGCAATAATTCAAACTCTGATAATTCATACTTTCGGTTAATTCAAACAAAAATTAAATTTTTCGGTTGGCTATCTATTATTTCAATGTATTCTATTCTTTTAACGCCTCTTAATTCAAATTTCATCACTCGATTACTTCATACCTTTTGAGGTTTCGCACCAGAAATTATCTGCTGCTTTCCCTCTAATGTTTCAAAATATATGTACCTTCATAATCCTAATAGTCTAAAAATGAAAAATAAGTGTCTCAAGCCTTCAAGAAAAAAAGCTTTGCTAGTAAACAAATGTTTCAAACGAAGCACACACATAGTAAACCAAGATGCTTCACAACTGGTATACATGGGTTTGTACTGAAGGCACATATAGCAAAGAAGCAGTTGGCAATTCACAATTTCTCAGATGGCCAATAAACTTGTGGACCATACACCATTGCTTTTTGTTCATTGTGTGCAGTTAGGGTTTAAAATGCTAAAAAAGTTTTAAATGTGATAAAATCAATGCCTAATCATAATGTGTGGTCTCACTTCAACCATCTGAGAACTTCTGATAATTCAAACAGAATTCAGAGATCCCTTTGAGTTTGAATTAACGAGAGTTGACTGTAGTCTAAAAAAAGTCATAGCTTTGCCGGAAAGGCAAAGCAATGAATGCGATAGCAATGAATTGAAGGCTCACACACAGAATTAAAAGCAAATCAAAACATGCCCTGCATTCCTCATGCACAAATGACGCACAAAACGTACACACAGGTATGGATGCACGCGAATAAGCATCTCATTTGTTACTTTGCTGTGTCTGAAAAGCGGGCGCTTTTCGCAAACGGAGACTGCATTGATTGGAGTGATCTTTGTGCACCCGGTAACTTCAACAGAATTGTTCCAGGTAAAGCCAGAGGCCAGCTAAAGCGTACGACCTTCCCCTCCTCCCTGCCGCGAGATCGCCTTTATCTCGCCTCTCGCCCAACAAAATATGCGTAGATTAGAGCGGGCGCGCAATGTGGCGACGCTGCGCTCTTTGCGCCATCTTGCTGGTAATGCTCAGAACACAAGCCCCCCCCCCCCCCCGAGATACTCGTGAGCAGCGGTAAGTGGTAGGTTTAAGTAGCTTGCTGTTTGAGTGGTGAAGAATGTGCTCCGGTGTGGCTCAGTGGTTAACGCCTCGCTTTCACGACGCAGAGCTCCCACGTTCGATTCCGCGCGCCGGAATGTTTTCTTTCTGGATTTTTTTTTCTTGCGTTTTCTTATATATAGATATGTATACGGTGCATGACATTGACGCCGACGCCCACGCCGACGGTACAAAGCACCGGAGAGTGTCCATATCAGTTCTATCGCAATAAAAATGCCCTCTTTCCTCTGGGCCTTTCTGTATCTGTGTATGCAGATCAAACCACAACTGCCACACCACAACTAAATTTTGGCCTGGGCGTTTTATATAGGTCCTGAACAAAATTTCTGCCGCCATAATTTTCAGCCACACTGATAGACTGGGTGTTGAAATTGATAGAGACAACCTTCCTTTCAGGCAGAAACTAAAGGAATATCATGAATTTAATAATTTTTTAACAAAAGTCCGCTTCCAGCGGCCGCGCCGTGATCTAGAGAAGGTGATGTTACACTTGCCGAAAACGGACATGTCACTAATGGCAGCTGTCACCCAAGTCTCAACCCGCTCACCTCCCCACACGGTTTCGGAACTACTATGAACAGCCCCTACAGCGAACAATGCTCCTGGCAGGGATAAAAAATCAGCTCTTATGTGGAAGGGGGAGAGTGGAATGAAAGGAGGTGGAGAAAGGGAAGAGGAGCACGTGCTCCCTGCATATGATTGGGAGAATCTGATGTCACGACTCGCACTCGCTAGCAGCTGCTGCGTGCTGACAATCCGCCCAATACACAGCCAACTGTACAAAAAATGTGAAACAAACTTTCTTCTTCAGAACACTGGCAACTTTGGAGCAGAATCTCTCAGTTTTTTGTTTTTTTTGTATTTTTGTTCACTATACTCTTAATAACGTAAAAAAAAGTCAGTTTTCTTACGTCTGAGACGTTGCAACTGTAACATGTTGCTGCACAAGCAAGTCTCTCATTACAATGGCTGTGTGTCACACATAAAGCTGAAAGAGATGCAGGGCCAATGTAATGTGCAAAAAAAGCTAGGATGACCTAAAAACGTTGTGACATTTGCTCCATCCCCACAGCTTCACATCAAAACCTTACACAACGTTGTCCAGAGTGGTGCGCCGCGAATTCTACGTTAATGGTACTGAACTTGCTTTCCACTCTATCCATTGAACACGCAGTATCGGAAACTATGACACGTTGCCAAACAAAAGTGCTCGCCAATGAGACCAGCTTATCTTGACGTTGGCACTGTGGAGCTTTGCCACATCATGAAATAAGTGGTACAGTGCAAGCAGTGACTTTGTTTTCTCCCTAATTGAGATCCCTTGCAAGATTAATTTTGTAGCCTTCTTGATAACACACATTTCTTGAACATTCACATCCACTTTCAATGTGAGAGGTCATTGCAGCCATTCCTAACACCCCTACGGCCAGCCACGCTTGTCATTTGACCAACAGAGACAACGCAAAAAGCAAACTAGGTGCTGCCACGAGGCAGTGCGCAAAAAAAGAGCCGTATTTTTTTTTTTTTTTGCACAATCGGAATAACATTTTAGGAACACACAATCTACGCAAGTGAACGTCGCTACTAATTTTAAGCCCACCCTGCCGTAACCCCCAAATGACTGTCCCAGGACCACTTGCCTGGGCTAGGGTTTCCTGGAGCTTCACCACTTTGTCCTCGAGGTCTTGCAGTCTCTGCTCTGGCTGCTTGAGGTTGCTGCTGCTTCCAGAGCTGGATGGAAAGCATGCAGGAAACAGAAAGAAAGTGGATTCAAAAAGCGGGAAACTGCTGGAAAGATTTGCGTTTATTTTTTATTCCCAGATGCTCCGTGAAAGCATGCATTTGCAGCCTTGCACATATACATCTTACTTCCAATGAGGCGAATGAATATTATGCTACTTGATACTCACTTCAGATCAATTATCTGAAGTTTCCAAACTATTCAAAAAAAAAAAACACATTATTCTGCATGTTACCAAGGCAGGTCTTAATTTTATTAAGTTACAACTTACAACCTATTGAACTCAGTGAATCAATTGTGAAAACATTCTGCTGCATAAATCAACACGGTCACATCTTCAACATCAGCTCTGTTTCCTTCCTCTAGTGGCGGTGCAACAATTTGCTCTAGTCCTGATTTGTGTGCAGCGTCAGCCATGATGCCAAGCCACAACGCTCAATTTCCACAAAAGTCACACACCAATTTTTCTGCTACAAAACATTTATGCGGATTATACAAATAAACTATGAAGACTTTATTACACCTGACTATAATAAGTACTTCCAAGTATAATGGAACACAATATCACCATAAAAAAATGGTGCAAGTTAAACAGCCAAGATCAGTGCTGCAGTGGATGGCTGGCTATCACGCAGCCTTCATAATTGATCTAGAGACTGTACTCTTAGGGTAGACCGCAAAACAGAATGGGCTACTGCATAATTGTGGGTAGACAGAAAGACTGCAGCAATGCATAAAGTACTGTCGTGTCAGGGCAGGGGTATTGATTCACAAAAATGCCACTATACATTAACGAAACGCTCCTACAGCCTCGGTCACCAGAAAGTTCGATGCATTCGTGGCGACTGGGGTGTTGTGAATGCTAGTGAGTAGGACTCTGTAAACTAATTTACCTTTTTGCAAGACTTGCGTGACGTGCTAGACTTGCACTCTCAATAAACAATTGTAGCGGGCCAGTTGGTATGAATCCATCTTTGCAGGAAGCGCAGCAACAATTACACAGCGCTTGTGTTGTGTGTTCTGTATAATAGTCGCTGTGCTTCGTACGAAGATAAGATGCACTCTTACATAAAATGCTTGGATAAGGCAGGTTTGAACAATAATGTGACTTTACGGTGAATCTGTGTACCTGTGTTCCCTGTCGCCAAGAAAAGATTTTAACAATTTACTTTTGCTTACTTTACCTGCTGCTTTGCATGCTCTCTGTGTGTATACTATTGTGCCTTTCTTGAAAACTGTTATTTGGTTCACACCTAATGTAGCTTCTTAAAGATTATGGCATCTATAATAAAATAATAAAACAACTAGACCCCAGCGTTTTTTGAATTAGTCAATATTTGGCATTCCTGTCAATGTTTTATAGAAATCTCGCGTGTATTTGAACTGTTTGCTTCTAAATTACTCTGCAATAATTAGCACAAGCCCCGTTCACTTTGCAACTGCTGCTTTTATATGAGCAACAAAAATCGCGAATGTCACACCTAGCACTATCAGCCACATTGTTTGCACTTGCTTCCGATGCTCCGGCAGTTGGCGAGAGATCACAGCAGGCGATCACTTGTGCTGGCTGGGCAGTGGTGAGAATCACGTCTTCCGCAGCTGAGTGGCAACGCAGCGCCAGTCCCTGTCGTCTTCCAGCACGCTCCAGCGATGAGGACGGTGTCTCAGGGCCCGAGCGGGGACGCTCCGACGGCCCAAGCGGGCACCAAGTGGGTTCCTGGGTCGATCAATTCGTCACCCACACTCACTTCACTTTATGTTAAAAGCATCGTTATGTGCATATTACCATACTTTCTGGTGCATAGGCCATCCTTTCTATAGGGTGCACCTAGTGCATTTTATGACTTTGCCAGAAAATATTCGCAGATCAAGCCGAAACTGTGTATAAGACGAACTCAACTTTGACTTAACCAGTGCAATAGCATAGTTGCTCACACTTGCGCAGCCATATAAAAATGTCGCGATCATGCATTTTCTAGAAACATATTTCTTGCGAGCTACAAAATTCAGCACTGTAAAACTTGGACACTCTCACAGGCTATGGACGCCTTGTGCGTGCTCACAAGTAGTATGGAAGCGTTCAATCAATAGAAACTAGCCCAGGCAAATGTATTAAAAAAATCTATGGTCCTTGCCTCCGAATCACTGTCGAGGTAGTCTGGTCCGATGAGTCTGAGCAGGTCTTCCTGGAAGGTGGAGCCTCCGCCCGCACTGCCCGCACTGCTGCCAGCACTGCTTCCACCCCCCTTGGCAGACGAGGGCGACCATGATGGACCAGTCGACGACAGCGGGTGAGTTGCGCTGGCCGACCGTGGCGTGCTGGGAACAGCGTGGCGGAGACTGGCCAGTGGACTGCGCATCACCTCCTCACCTGTGGTCGCAGTGCTGCCACTGCTCACAACACGACAACTGCGTACAACAAAGAAAGAGAACTGAAAAAAGTTGCACAGGCTCCCTAAGCATATTCGTACAATATGAAAGCATAAAAGCATTTTTTAGGCTCGGTTGTCATTACAGAGGGGTGCTGCAATGTCTGCTGCAGCAATGCCAGCTGTGTGTGAACTTTCTCCATTCTAATATGTGAACTCAAACAACATTTATGACGAGACACCAGAGTAGTAGCAGGACAAGACGAACACAGACGGAACGACTGTGTTCACTTTGTTTACTTAGACTGTGGTGTTTTGTCCCAAGCGCAGTTTTGGTTCACATAATGTTTTACTAACCAGCCTCCGACACAAGCTTTCCTACAAACCTGGCCAGGAAATGTAGCCCTGCCTACAAACCATTGCTGTGGCAGTTATGTATGCTGGCACTGGTTCAGGTAAGAGAGGTCACATGGTTCCCGAACACTGTTTTTGTGGACGTCAGCTGCTTGTGAACTTTCGCCAGCCTAGTGAATAAACATTAGCACTTTAAAAGCCATTTCAGTCCCAGTCTACTTTGCTGCAATGGGGTAAACTTCTGAGCAAAATGATTTAGCACCATAGGTCAGCAAACTCACTTTCACTCTGACACACTCAGACTTGGACCGAGCTGCGAGTCTGAGTGAGTAATGTTTTAGCGATTTTGAGTCCTAGTGAGTTCAACTAAGCCAAATATTGGCGAGCCTGAGTCTGAGTGAGCCATAAACGCAAAGTACATTTCTTGAGCAAGTCTGTGTGAGCTCTAACTTATATTGCCGACCTATCGTCCTACATGTTCATCTTCAGCATTAATATCAGCCTTATATCAGCTCACATTTCTTCCCAAATCTATTCACTCATATCTCCATGTACTAGTGTTCACGTACCACAGTCAATATTTATTACAGGCGTGAGATAGGGGGAGGGTGCCATGACCTCCCCTCGTAAACACTTTCACAGAAAATCATTAAAAAAAATAATGAATATCTTGTGCGAGTTCAGTATTCCATAAAAATGAATTGAAAACAAGTGTATGAAGGTACAAGATCAGAAGGCGTATTGTAGAGCACGGAATACGTCATATACTTGCGTTGTAGAGCATTTGGTATTTTTGCGACAACTGGACTCGTGAGTCGTCTCACTCACACTCAGGCCAAGCTGCGAGTCTGAGCGAGTTTGGCTGAGTAATGTGCAGGTGAGTTTGAGTCCGTTCGAGCCAGATTGAGAAAAAGTTTAGTGAATCTGGGTCCAAGTGAGTCCGCATGAGTGAATTTTGCCGAGCCTGAGTGAAACCTCAGAGCAAAATATATTTCTTCAGCGAGGCCGAGAGAGCTTCATTTCTTTCTTTTATTTTTTTCAGCTGACCCACGTGTAGCCCTGTTGCCATCAAATTGTTCAGAGAACCAAGATACAGCTTTCATCGAGCAACATGTGCAACCTCACGTCCTTGTTTTTCATTGCACTGATGTGTAAAACATAGGGAAGGCCTTGTGGCTAAATAATATGCAAATGCACTTCATTTACGTGGTCATGTCAACGATATCCAGGAATCAACAGTGTGCTAACACGCACCTTTAAACTACTTCAGCAACTTTGATTAACTTAATATTACTGCGATAGCTGTGGGCCTTTTTCAAGAAGTCATGTGACCCCCTACTGACAACTAAAGAGCCTGGAAGAAATTGCACCACCACCTTGGCTATCATCTGCTACCACACCAAGCACTATTTGAATGGCTGCCATGACAGATGCGGGCATCACGATGCGCTTTCTTGTTTTCTAGATTTCGGTTAGCAATTAGTTCGAAAGCTTCCTGCGTTTTACAATGAGTGAGAAAGTTTTTTAAAAAATGAAATAGGTTGACAAATGGGCCCTTTTTGCTTTAAGTAGATTCTGTGCTTACTGCAGCTTCGTTCATAATCAAAAATCACGCAAATGTCCCATTTTATAGTGCTAAGTTACAGCAATTCACCTGGCTTGTAAAAAAAAAGCAAATATGTTCTTGTTGGCACCTCACGAACCCCCCTAAGCAGACCCTGGAGTCCAATCTTGAAAGCAACACTTTATCTCAATGCAATGCAGAGACATGTGAGGAAAAATACATCTGAATTCACGTCGAACTTTCATAATTTTATGGTTCTAATTTTTCATAGTAACACTCAATAATAACTAACGTTTCACATTGCAAAACAACAATAAAATCACAAGAAATGCTGTAGAAGAAAGCTCTTGAAATTTCAACCATTTGGTGTTTTTTAATGTGCACTGACGGGCCTCTACCATTTTGGCTCCATGGAAATGCGACTAGGATCCAATCCACAACTTTCAGGTCAGCATGCACATTATAACACTCAATAAATCAAATCCACTTATAGGATACCATTTTCAATTACATATCGGTTATAACAACGAGAAGCTGATGCTCCATCAAGTTTCGTATGTCTTTTATGGTGAATTAAACCACTTAAATCAATGCCTGCATGCTGCCTTATCGGTAATAATGAATTCTGGCTGTTGGGTGTCCGTGCCCAGAGGTAAAGAATGAGAAATTTTTAGAGAGAAAGAAGAAAATGAGAAATTCAAGCTGCTGAACCCTATCACACAACTCCAATGTCCCTCAAAGCCCCTTCAGAGTCCCAGTATGCTTTACTGCAGTGCACTCTGGCAATGTGGCAAAGCCGACTTTTGCAAATACACTCCATGCATTTTGAGTAAAAATATACATGGCTGATCTCTTTGTCTAGGAGTTACTATAACATAAAAGTGAAACCTGACCTTACAGATGTAGTTGAGCGTTCATTGTGTCCTGTTTCCCCACAAGGACGAAGAAATGAACACTACAGCAACACACTGCAATGTCATGTGAAGATTGGCTAGCCACTTAAAACTTGCAGCGGGCACATCAAGTAGAAAGCACCCATGAATGAGCATACACAGGACAAGCGTGAACGAACAGCTGTCACACCTCGGCACTTGAAGTGCGCTGACCAAACAGAAAGAAAGACACATGAAACAAACGCACAAGTATACACAGGCCTAAGCACCAACAACTGTCACAATTCTTACTTCTTCTGTGTGAGCTCTACTTAAATGTATATTAATCTGCATGTAACTTCTGTAGAAGTGGCTGCACTGCAACAAAAGTGTGCTAGGCCGTGAAAACACCCTTTCAGGAGAAACCCACACTGTCACGAAGTCTTACTTAAAGGTCATTTTCATATTGATTCTCCATCTTTGACGTTTAAAAGCTTGTCAAACCAGCTTATATGCTCCTAGTATATTAAATATTAACACATAACATATTTTTTACAGGTTATCACTTGCATTCTATCAAAAATCAAGTTCGTCCTACTTTTATTCAAAGTTGTTTCTACTTCCTACGAACAAAAAAAAAAAGGCATTTGCACAGGCCTTGTTTCAATATATGTTGTGCAGGTTAATTAGGTCGTGACAAATATGCCCATTTTCCTTTCAAACATGTGATATATACTACTCAAATCCTATTTGAAATTATTCAACCAAATCACCAGTATTTGCTTTGGGTCTAAATTTCCCTACGTATTCGCACTTGCCAAGTTTTTTTTTTTCTTTGCAAACTGTCAGTATATATTTACAATGTCATACTTGTGATGAAAATATATGCCATGATGAACCCCGCCATAAAACACTTCTGTGTTAAAAGTCGAAACTTTGAGAAGTTTCTGCAGCTGAAACTCCAGATGTTGCCATACGCTGGCTCTATGGGGTTTGTGGCAGCCCCATGAAAGCATCCGAATTTTCAAAAATGTCCTAAAGTCGGCAGATTTGTCATCCTTATCACTGACGTCTGTTGGCATATTCCACCTGATAATAAGTAATCCCTCGTTGACTCAAACTCACATATCTCAAAAAATTGGCTATGCTGAAATTTTTCGTGGCACCAAACATTTTCCTATACGTCTCATGTATATTCTTGCCTTTATCTCGAAGTGTTTTTGGGTCGCATTGCGGATAACTGAAAATCTTGACAGAGTAGAACGAAAATACTGCTGCCGGACCATTTTGCAAGATTCGCACAATGATGCCACGCCTGAAGTCCACTGATTTTTTTTCCTATTTATCTGCGCTTGCCACTACATCGATGCTTTCCACGAATGCAAAGGGTGCAAAGTCTCAGCCTATCCACACAACTTTGTCAAGCAACGTTGTGGCACGTCATGTGACACATGCGCTGAGCAGGGAGGTCCTCTGCACATGCTTAGCGTAGTTTGTCTCGTTCGCTTTGTGCATTGCATACGATTTTTCCTTATCTGTGATTTTCGTTCATCTGGGCAACCGAGCAGTATGAATTTTTTGCCGACTGCTAAAAGCAGCAACTTAGCGTGAAGTGCGGCAAGCATGGCGCTAAAGCTGTACACGTCACTAACGCTAGAAAAGAAGGTTGCCCTAATTAAGAAATTTGAGAAAGAAGGCCGTATAAAATCGAGCATTGTGCAGAAATTCAGCATCTATGCTTTCGACGTGCTGAAAAACAGGTAGAAGGTGCTGAATGAATTTCAGCAGAGCTTCTTCAGCCAGCGAAAGCGGGTTCGAGGGTCGAAGTTCCCTGACGTTGAAGCAAAGCCGATGGCTTCGAAATAAGGTTGGGTGCAGCGGCGGGAAGATCAACTGATATGCGATGCATCAAGCAGCTGGAGGATGCCTTCCTAGGCCTGAGTACGACCACAAAGCAAACAGGTATTAGGTAGCTTTTGTATGCTAAATAAATTATTTGGCTCTAACGATGAAATTTTTACGGCATGTGAGTATTGTTATAAGTGGGTTCAATTGTATACTTAGTTATTTCACTTGTAAAGGAAAAATGGCTAATTATATTACCGTATTTACTCGATTTTACCGCGCCCTCGATTGTAACGCGCACCCGATTTCCACCACGAAAAAAAAAAAAAAAAAACGTAAGACATCGATTGCAACGCGCGCCTCATTTTTCTCGCTGGCCCGCACGATCACACCACTCGAAAAAACGACTCCTTTCGGGAGCGTCTTCCATTTAAATATGAGGTACGGGCGAAACTTGTGCCCATCTGACGTGTAACAGAGCATTGCCGTCACTGTAGTTTTACCGTGGACCAATGTCAGCACGCGAACTTGCTTCGCCCCCTTCTTCTCGACGGTTGTGGTGCCAGGCATGTCGAAGTAAAGAGGCGTCTGATCGGCATTCCCGATTTGCCCAAGCAGGTAGCCGTTGTTGCGCCGCAAGTTTACGACGAACCTCTGAAAACTGTGAAGCTTTTCATCGTACTCCTCCGCAAAACTTTTCGCATATGCATGTTCCCCTTCGGAGGGAAAAGCCTTTCCTCTTCATGAAGTTAGTTAGCCAGCACCTGCTCGCTTTAAACTGGCTCCACATTAGACCTTTTTCTAAGACTAATTGCATAGCCCGCACTTGGAGCAGTTCTGTCGTCACGGGCCGCTCTAGCGCTCAAGCACATACTCTCCGAGCAGCTCTTTAATTTGCGGAAACCGACCCTGCTGTGGTCTACTGAAGCCTTTGCGTGAAGCTTTGCTGTCGACAATCTTCTGCGTTTGTTTCCGCCGATCCCGCACGCACGTTTCGGGACCTCCGAACGACCGCGATGCGGCCCGATTTCCGTCCGTTTCCGCACACGCGATGGCTTTTCTTTTAAAAGCGGCATCGTGGTGCACTAGTTTTTGGAGTCGGCCCTTCCACGCCATCGATGCTAATGCACTACTAGATGACGAACTCCTCAGCTCACGTACGAAGTGCCGCACATGGGAAACACATAGGCAGAAATGGCTGACGCGCCATGCCGACGCACGTAGGGGGCGGCCATTTTGGATTCGCCGATGGCAATAGATTGAACGTATTTTTTTTTCGTACTCGATTCTAACGCGCATGCGATTTATGAACTCGCTTAACCGGAAAAAAGGTGCGCGTTAGATTCGAGTAATTACGGTAGTCTACAAACCTCATTCTGAGTCATCAACAAGAAGTGAGGGTTATGCCTATTTTGGGCCCTTTCATGGCACTAAAGCATAGCATTTGAAAGGACAGCAAGTTTGCGAGGCATCTTATTTCTACTGCTGCCATAATCCTAGGACTGTAAAATCCTCACAGGATGGTTGCTAAAGGTTCAACAGCACATGCACAAGTGGGATACCAACCAATCAATGCAAAGGCTAGGCCCCGATTTCAGAAAAGAATAAGATTCTACACGCTGTTCTGACAGACATTTCTATGGATGAAAACTCTCCTACTGTGCACCCTCTTGCCAAACTCCACCACCAGCTCCATGTTTCTAAAGAAAGGTTCACTACGTCGTCGCTTACAGCGCATTTCTCAATCGTATCGTTCTGTTGTCACAGCACTGGTAGCATGCGACATTTGCCCGCATGGTGGGTTAAAACTTGCAGGGTCCCTTATGCCTTCAGTGAAGACGACCCAAAGACGAAAGCGAACTCATTTTGTCCTCTCAGCCGATGTGTTGAGACTGCCCAGCCAACCTTTGAAAGATTTCTTCACCTAGCATGATTTGGCACTGACCCCAAGATTTAAGGTACGTCATCTGGTTTTGCATTCCCTTCACGATCGGAGCACCTTCGACCAATCTATGATGCGATGTGATGTAACGACGTCCCATAGGTAGACATTACGTGTTGTGGCGTCACTGTGACATCATCATGACATCGTATAATGTGGTCATCTCGTGACAATTTTTTCGCATCACTTGTTCCCAACGCAGCCGGATGGAAGACAACCACCACTGCGGAACGCCAACCGTCTAATTCAATGTGCATTCATGAAAAAGCCTCACCCTAGTCGGATCTTGGGACTGTGGTTTGGGGCTCGCTCTTGAAGACCACGGCGAGGCAGTGGGCTTCCGAGATGACTGCTGCCGCACGTCGACAGCTCATCTATAGGAAAAGGACATTGGCACAAAACACAACTTGAAAACATTTAGGCAAAACGCTAAATCTGAGTGGACTCTGCAGAACTGCTGAAATTCAGCTGTACATCTTACATTCATTTCAGTGACATTACTAGAGGTCGATGGAGCGTGCCTGGCACTCCACTGCACAGAATTTGAGCCCCCAACATGTTACATACCACTGCATACAAACTTCAAAAAGACGAAGCAGTTATAGAGTTAAAAGCAAACGTCACAAAAAATATAATTTGATGATGCTCTCAAAATACAGTAGTACCCTGCTGTTTCATTTCTCACAGCTGCGTTTCCCCGACTATTATGTCGCCTTCCCGATGGTCACAGCATAGCACCCATAGAGTCCATTTTATTGGCCATCCCGCTGTTACACTGTAACTACAGGATCATTCTAGTCGTAAAGTGCCCTCGAAGCCAGGTGAGCAACCAAGAAGAGCGGCCATGTTGACTTTTTATGCCTCGCTTTACTCTAAGATTAGCTGCGCGAGTGCTGCATTAGGCACACATGATGTGCTTTCAGTTGCCGCAAACAAAGGAACAGCCTTAACGATGCGTACTGCAAGATGATGTCATTAGTTTTATACGTTTGTTTTAGGGCTCGCAAAAGGAGCATCTTTGAGATTGGCATTTGTTTTTACCATCGCATCGGCGTGGACTTGAAAACAGCCATGTAGCTTTCGAATCAACCCATAGTCTAATCACAGAACGAACACAACAACACACCCTACATGAACTAGCACTGTCACACAGCAATGCGCACTTGCCACTCTGGCTTGGCTTAGATTGAATTGAGACTCTATGCGTATACGGTATGCGTGATGCTAAAAAGATGGCACTAGGCTGCCATGTGCTATCATCATCAGTGGCTGGAAGAAGCAGACGACATTATTACGGCAATTTTCGGGGGTGCGATAATTACTCAAGCAAAAAAAAAAAAAAAAAAATATTTTTTTTTTTGTTGGGCAATGTTGGGGGTGAGAGAATTGTGTGAGTGTGAGGATTACCTGAGTAAATACGATGCATTGGTTAAATTTCTGCTCATGATACTGTTTTCAGCTCTGCAGCTGTATCTATTGTTTAGATAGCGGCTGAGTCAATGAATCAACCAGCAATGAACTTTACGAACTGGAGGAGCACGGGTCATTTTTTTCAACGATTGCTTTTGGGAGTACTTCAGCTTCGGATTGTCTGCAGAACAGAAGGAAGCCAGTGGCAAAAGCAGGTCAGTGAAATTGCCAATGGCGGCCCCCTTGTTTAGTAGTAAACAGCAGTGGTTTCTAGTGGTGCCAAAGCACGTTTTAGACTTTGTAGACATATTTTCGTGTACTGAAAAATACATCAAAATGTGCAACATTGATGTTTAAGGGGGGACGCGGCCTTTGAAAACCGAAAAATCGCGAAAAAGTCGATTTTTGGCAAACCACATATTCGGGCAGTATGTGTCATAAACTACCTTTTCTGTAAATATCAACGTCTAATTCGTCGCGAAACCATTTGAAATAAAGTTTAGAACATGCCGCAGCGGCCCTCGAGCGGCGCGCGAGCGCTCAAAATACCCCAACTTGGCGTGATCGCAGTTTCTCGACCGCTCGACGGAGCGCCGCCATTTTGGTGTTGTTTTGTTTGTGAATTCTTGCTCTTTCTTTCCCCGCCACCTGCGTCGCCGGCGGCAGCGCAGGAGAGGAGCAAGCCGCTCATGATTGGAGGGCTCGCGAGAGCTTTCAAGTTTCCCGCGGCTGAGGCGCACAGCTGGGATTGGGCGAAGCGCGCGCTCCCCAAGGACGCGGGGGAGCCCGCGACTGCCATTGGCTGCTGCGCGCGATGACGTAGCGCTCTTGCGCATAATGCGGCCGATGCGGCCGCTCGTCTGCTGCTCCTCCGTCCGGCGTCTTTGTGTTCCGCTCGCTTCCATGTATCGTTGCAGCCGTTCGCATACTCTCCACGTTTCAACTGTCTTCCAAACGATTTTCAACCGTCTTTACGAGACGATTTTCAACCGTCTATACGAGACCGTTGTTGTGTTCGCTCACGATGTGCCCAACGAAAAAGAAGACGCTACAATCGTTCGGTGCAAGGAAGCGAGCTATGAAGCTTGTCCGCGCGGCGAGGCTCTCCGCTCACACGTGCGCCGACGGTGATCGCGCCGACGGTACCTGTGGGGCAGCTTCTGCTTCATCTACGCAAGAGAGTGGTCGCATCGACGCACCTAGCAACGGGACTCCTGCACCGCCGGTGCAAGATTTTGTCGTTACAAGTGCGCCTGGTGTCTCGTGCTCATCGACAGTGGCTTCCGCATCTTCTCTTTCATCGGCCTCGAGTGCGATCACGTCGTCAACTGTGCATTTGCGAACAAGTTTCCTGACGTGCGAGGAGAAAGAAGCGGCAGATCAACAACGCGCTGCTGTGCAAAGAGAACTTGGCGCTATGCCAGCGACGGAGCGGAAATTTCAGGCAATAGAGCGCGATCATGAAGCTGCCACCGCTACAAGTGAAGGCAAAAAATTTTTCCTTGTGCAAATGAATGCCCTAGACGACCTGCTATCTCGGACCCCGTGCCACCGGTGCACCGCGATTGGGATGAAGGTACGAGGAGGCACCCAACTTGGACTTGCTGCAAAGCTTGAGCTAGTATGCTTGCATTGTGGAGTAGTTTCAAGCTCATGGAGTTCATCTCGTCAGGATGACACAAAGGCCTTTGATGCGAATGTAAGAGCCATTATGGCAACAAAACAAATAGGCAAGGGACAAACAGCTCTCAACGACTTTTGGGCAGCGATGAACGTGTCCTATCGTGGCCTCCATCACAAGACATTTCAGAAGCACCTGAAGAAATTCAGGGAACCGCAGACACAATGCATAGAAAATTTCTATGCAGAATCTGCTTCTGCTGTAAAAGCCACTTACAAAGAAATGGATCAATATTTCACCAGGGATATAACAGTTTGTTATGATGGAACATGGCACAAGCGTGGGCACACATCCCATATTGGAGTCGGGGCAATTATCGAATACCATACAGGCCTTATCTTGGACGCCGTTGTTCTGTCTAATCAGTGCCTTGGTTGCCAAGTAGGGCCAAAGCCTGGAGACGCAGACTATGCATGCTGGCTGGAGAATCATGTGTGCCAGAAAAACACCGACTCTAAATCAGGGAGAATGAAGGTTGAGGCAGCTATCATCCTCTTTTCACGCTCACTGTCGAAGCACAACCTCCATTACACAACGCTCGTGTCTGATGGAGATAGTGCCACCTTCTCTGCCCTTGTACAAGAAAATGTTTATAGACTGGTCCCCATTTCAAAAGAGGAATGCCTGAACCACGTTCAGAAGAGGATGGGGACTGCACTTCGCAACCTTGTGCAGAAAAGTGACAAGGCTTTGGGAGGGAAGGGCAGGCTGACAAAGGCCCTCATCGACAAGTTGACAGATTATTATGGCTGGGCCCTACGGAACAATTCCGATGATGTGGCTGCAATGCGGCGGGCAGTGATGGCATCGTACCACCATGTGACGTCGACGGATGAGGAGCCGCACCACGACTTGTGCCCAGAGGGTGCAGACTCCTGGTGTCGTCACAATGCCAGCAAGATTACCGGTGTTCCACCTCCGAAGCATTCGTACAAGCTGCCACGCTATGTTGCAGATGCACTTCTACCCATTTATGAGAGGCTCTCACAGGCTTCTCTTCTGCAATGCTGCCTGGGAGTAAAGACGCAGAATGCATCAGAGTCCTTTCACTCTGTGCTGTGGTCCCTCATGCCCAAAGAGCAGCATGCGTCACTGATTGCTGTAGAGACAGCACTGCATGATGCAGTGCTAAGATACAATGCTGGCTGCTACAGGGCCACCCAAGAGCTAGCTTCATCAGTGGGGCTAACACCTGGCCACCTGGCCATTCAACGGGCAGCCGAGAAAGATTCTCTGCGCTTGAAAAAGGCTAAGAAGCGATCCCTAGAGAAGATGGAAAGGTGGCAAAGAAAGAGAGTGCCAAAGGACACTTCCAGTTACGCTGCAGGTTCATTTTAGAACTGCCTATGTGCTCAAAACTTTCAAACGTCGTTTTCTCAAAATGACTTTTTTGGCTAGTGAGGCTGCTTATTCCAGCCATATCTCTGGAACCACTCATTGGATTTCCATAAGTCTTTTTTTATTATGTACATGAATAAATTTCTGAGGGGGTGACAAGCCCATTTTTTCAATATATTGTGTGTGTTATTTATTATATTTAATCAAAATTTGATTGATAATATCCTAATCACGAACACAAAGTTTGATGGTCTGCTAAAACTTTTCAGCAAGGAAATTCAAAAAAAGGGCTCTGTTACCCCCTGGAGTATCAATTTGGGAACCATCATAGTTAATTTCACAGTTCCAGCACCTTTTCAAAGTTCTCCAGGCCTAGAATAAGAGAACCATGTGCACTACCCTGATATTCTGCTGTAACTTGAAAACCAGTGAACATAACTTGATGAAATTTTGTAGTTCTTCTAATGCTTTTGCTATAAGTCTATCCTGAAAATTTCATTAAGATATGTCAATAAACAAAAAGTTGGTATCCTGTGGTAGCCTCCCCCCTTCATGTGCAGCATTAAGTATGTGAGCCTGTAATTGCATCATCAAATTTCCTCGAAAGAGAACAGCAGAAGAAAAAGTGTTTGTTCTGGTGAGAATATTTATGAATTTACTTCTATGAACTGCTGACACAGAAACAAGAGTTTTTCGTTGTAGCGGAAAATTTCGCTGAAGCGGCGTTCACTGGCACGGGGTTCGACTGTAGCATTAAACTGATGCTCAGCAGCCCCAATAACACATCTCAAAATATTGAGATGTGTTATTGTCTAGTCTGACAAACTAACCTGCGCTGCTTCCAGCTCCCAGCTGCCACTCGCTGGAGCTGTCAGACTGGTAGTCCGAGCCCATGTGCTGTGCCACCGGCTGCACCGACGGCCCACACCGGTCGAGACCGCTGAACGTCGATGATCCTAGACTGCTGAGGTCACCCTGGCTCCTGTGGTGGTGCTGCAGAGGCGAAAAAGCAGAAAAACCCGGTGAAAACTTTTGCAAAAATTTAGCACGCTGCGATGGTGAAGAATGCAGCAACACCGAGCTTCAGTTCAAGAAGTAGTGACACAAAATTCTCAGTTATTTATTGAACACTGAAGCTGTTTATCAAACCGTAAAAACAGTTGTCGTCCGGCAAAAAAAAAAAAAAAAAAAAACCTTGCTGTGATGGCAACGGCACAGCTGCGCACTATCTGAATTCGCCCTGCCTTGCTACCATGACGTCACACCGGGCTGTACATGCACCAAATCTACACCCCTACCAAGCGGATAGAAGAGCTGCCGCTTGGTAGGGGTGTAGATTTGTCAGGCGCAGCAGCTCCTCCATGGGGTGGAGAGCCGAAGCCACGCATGCACCGCACAGCCGTTGTGTGAAGGATGAGCCAAGTTTGAAAGTGCTGTCGCCTAACAACCATTTTTATAAGCAGGTATTTGATGATTTAAATCATCAAATACCTGCCTATAGCGAATCTCCATACCATGAGTTTCTCGACATTTTAAAGTTTTTCTATTCCCTGTCGGTACTCTACGGATCTCGCCCTGAATGTGCCATTTCGGCACGAGCAAGAGCCACACACATCTTCTATGGCTATGCAGCCAATTACAGACTACAGCGCGTAAAGCGGGGGCACCTGCAAAAGAAGCGAGAGCGCCTGTTTGTGCGTTCGAAAGTCAGGTGTGCTTGCACCTCATAAGCCGGCGTTTCTGCCACCGTGGATGCATGCGTGGGTGCGCGCTTTTTGTGACGGTCCCGCAAGAAGTGGTAGTTTACTGCATTTTCCTTTTTTTATGCAACTTGTTTATAACACTAATAAATTATTATGATGAAATCTTTATGGCACTTGAGTATTGTTATAAGCGGGTTCAAATGTATTATGTTGCCACAATGAAGAATGCGGCAATACAGTGTAAATTAAAATAATACAAACACAATAACTTTAAAGCTTTTTAATGTTAATAAAAAAGGTACGACTTCGAAAGCCTAGAAAGGCGCTTTTCCCGCACGTATCCCTGCTTAGTCATGGAGTATTTAGTTTTTTTATGTGCTGTTTAAGTGCGAACAATTTACTGTATGTGCACCATACACGTGAATATGCGGCATCTTTCCTTGTGAGATAAAAACTGGCATCCTAAGCTGGGATCTGCATAAAACTGCGACTCCAATTCTCACCTGGGTGTCCCTGCCAGCTGCCGAGGAAGGGTCGAGGGGGCTGTGTTGCCGTGACTGTCGCGAAGACGACGAAGCGAGGCCACCGCCTCCCGTTCCGCCGCCCACGCGCAGTTGACGCTGCTCGTGCGAGGACAGCTGGGCCAGGCTGAGTTCGCTCCGTGACACCACCAGGGGACCGGGGAGGGGCTCCAGCAGCATCAGGGATGCCAGAGACGGACTGCTGCCGCCACTCCCGCTGCGTGGTGTCACTGCAAGGTGGAGCATGCCAGCTCATTATGACTTAGTGCCATAAATAAAAAAAGAATGCATGCAGGCTTACCCAAGAAATACATTTTGCCCTTTGGGCTCACTCAAGACTCACCAAAAGTTGCTTAATCGGACTCCCTCAGATTCAAAGTGACCAAAGTACAGTCATCTCTCTATATACCAAACCTCAGATTAATGACTTTTTCATATTAACAACTTTTTCGAAAATCTCCCTCCAAATGACTATTGGTTCAATGTAAAACTATTTCAGTACTATGAATTTCAGAATACTGATTGTTTCAGGATAACGTACCAAAATTCACCCACCTTATATCTCCTCAACACTTCAAAATACTAATGAATAGAGATTTTAAAAAGTTACTCTCGACTGTGAAAAGAATGCCCAGCTCCGTACCTGCCACTGTCACCATCATCATCATCATCATCATCAGAACATCCGCATATTTCTCTATCTGCCCGCCCTATTCAAATGTGTGACAGCCCTATCACCATGATCATTGCCTAGCACTTGTTTTTCACGTCAGGCTTCGTCCTGCTGCTACCACTGCCTTTGTTTTCGTCGGGCAGCTTTACCTGCGCGCTTGTTACGCGGTTCTGTTCTAGCCTTTTGGTTGGTGCTTGAACGTTCAGGATGAGCTCCAGAAGCAGCGCGAAAGGAATACTACGAAGTGAAAAATGCAATGCGAGTGGCCTACAAGATGAAGTCACTAATGACTACCCGTGCTGATTCACTAACGCTCGAACACTATGCACAGTGCGATAACAAAGCGTGCACGTGATCTAAGCTGATGACTGGTAAGATCCATACCATTTGTCATGATAAGAAAACAGCGACGAGAGTGAAGACGATGTTGAAACAGCACTTGTAAACCAATGTGAAGAATCTGCATTTAACGCCGATGCTTTGCAGTGTGCAAGAAGCATGCACACGCTCAAGAGGTCATTCAGCAGTTGCGCTGCCCACATTAGGATAGATCCCGCTCTTCGTAAAATACACGTGCACCGGTTCTGTAATATTTCGTGTTTGTTTTTTCGCCCTTATTAGAGCATACTACGGTCGTGAATGTATGCACAGCACAGGTAGGCAAACTTATGTGCTTGTTTATGATTTTTGCATATTTTTATTACTTTCACAACGACGTTTAAAAATAACGAATAATTTTAGTGGTGCCCTGAAGTTCGTTGTATTGAGATTTCACTGTATTACTCACCTAGATTCATTAAGACTCTCAGCTCGAGCTGAATCTCAGCGAGTCTCAGGGGCGAGTTTGCTTACCTCTGCTCAGCACGCACGAATCCAAGACACTAATCTTGCACTTAAGTCTCTTGCAATCTTTCACAGGCAGATGCATTCACCGTGCATGCAGTGTGAGATATCAGTTTGCCTCTTGCCTTTTTTGCTTTAGCAAGTGCAACATTTACTCTTGGGAAACTACCACACACGAGAGAAATACATACAAGAATATGGCCGATTGATGGTAAGCAGGGACAGATAATGGAGGGTTCAAAGAGTTCAAATGAACCGGGCCCTGAGGTTTCGGGGCCCCCCCCCAAGGACCAGAAAAAATGGCAGACTTTGTCGTTTTGTTCGAAAAAGTTTGATCCTCCAGCTGAATTCCTTAGACAGAAACAGATTATCTATTTCAATAATCAATATACATGCTAAGAGGTTCATTGCGTACCGTGCATAATATTGAAGTCAGCTCACAGTTCTGCAGTCTGTGGTAAAAACCTTTTACTCGCCCAAAACCATGCATCGTGTAGAGGGAAGAAATATTTTGTAAAAATATAAAGATATTCCGCAGTTTAACTGCAGGAAAGATGCAGGAAAGATGAGTGCAATGAATGTGTTTCATTTTTCTATAGCCCTATGAAAGTGGATGTTGCCTGCAAAAATGTAACTCTATAAAAAGTTTAAAAGCGAACGATTTCTGCATAAATGAAAATATGCATGGTCATTTTTAATTGTTAAAAATCTAAATGAATCTTATTTTTTATAGGTGCCACCTTTTCCAAAAATTTGACCCACCCTCTTCCTATATTGAAAATATTTTAGTTCTAGACCATCTGTACTACTTGTACTGGTCAGTAGGCATATACAATAGACATATTAGCACTACAGTGGAGCCCACATATAACGGCTCCACTTAAAACGAACTTTCGCTTAAAACGAACAATATCCACGTGACCGTGAAAATATACATTAGTTCAATGGCACAAAATCGCACTTACACCGAACGTCTCCGAGCGCCGCTGATCGGTTACAGCGAACGGAGTCGGCGGTCTGCCGACTTCAATTTCGACCACCGATCAAGCATCGGTGAGGTGCCCATACATTCTTATTGTTAAACGCCGATTCTGCCTCCGCGCCCCTCTAGTTGCTGCTCTCCCCGACCGCTTTTTGTTACGCACCCCTCCGTCCTTTGTACCCCCCGCTACTCTGAGCACCCCGCATTGCCAGACGAGGCCCTGTGTTTTCACACTGCCACCGATCTTTCAAAGACCGGTTGGCCATCTACCCTGTTTTTGATCGCTGGTCCTGTCGTTGGCGACACCGGGCTGGAGTGACCAGACCATTTTCCAACATCATCGGTCACCGACTGTATCCGATAATCTGTGTCTAGTGCACGTGCGTACTGCACAACGCTATAAGTTAAGGCAAGTGGAAGAAACATGCATGGTGCTTGGACTGCACTTCTAAGTGTCGTATGTGTTACTTCTTTCCGTCTTAACTACTCCCACAGTTTGGTCTTCTTTCAGTATGATTCAATGAACCAGACAAATTTAAATGCTGTCCTTGTGTCTTAGACTCCCGACGTATTTATTTATTTATTATGATCTCTCCACATGCTCTGAAAGAAAGAAAACGTCTAGGTGACATTAAACACACCAGGGAGGTTTAGAATAAATATGAATAGTGTTCTTTGCAGCTAAATAAAAAAAGTGCCTAGTTTCAAGCATGACCAGATGACAAAGTGGGAAGAAAAGGAGGCGGTGTGAAGGGGGAGGGGCCGCCCTTACTATATTTTTTTTAGCCAGGCTTTCCGTACTGTTAATCCAGTCCCGACTGTAAGGTTCTGTGAACTCTCAATCATTCAAAATATGTCATTTCAAATTGACAAAATTCAGGCTGTAGCAATGCTCCCAAACATTTTTGTATTTGAATGGCAAAAAACTCACATTCTCAACCTCTAAGAAGCACTGGAAAATAGTCTCAAATACCTGTTCTGCCTGTAGACATCTGCCTTTCGGAAAAATGCTGCATTGCATTGCCTCTTGCTTCAAAGTGCCGATTGATGAAAGAGAGACAATATGAGAGCTGAAAGACTGCCAGCCATACCGACTCGCCCAAGTTGTGCATCGCTGTAGATGCCCGTTAAGATAAGTGCCTGCTGTTTACTGACCAAGACACTCTGACATGCCACTGTGTGTGGCTGGGCTACTCACTTCCCTTAATCTTGAATGATAGTTCAAACAGAAATGTCACGTGTTTATTGTTTCATTTTTGATGTATAGGGGTTTCACCAGCAAGACCTGTTAGCACCCCTCAACGCAGGCCCCAATGTTTAGGAAGCTTTGCTGTTGCTTGAGATTATTCTTTTAGTGATTACGTGCAGAATACGAAAGGTCAAGTTGCTGCCAGAGCTCATGCAAGCCCTGTTATAAAGCTGGAAAGTTCAATGTGTGAAGTATAAAAGACGGTGTGTTTCAGCAATGATCAGATTATCAACAGGCAATGCTCTGTTCGCCACTATATTTGCCATTGCTGTAGTTTTACCTTTTGTTTTCTGGTCACAAGTACAGACAAATAAGAAGTTTTGTTTTGGACATGCTAACTGCTGCTTTTGTCAACGTTATGACCCTGTGAAAAATGTGCAGGCTCTCGTAACTAAACACCGAAGCACGTGAAAAGAAATCTCACATGCCATGCCACGTGTGGGGCAACAGGCTGAACTCACCTGATTGGCCCGAGGCTGCTGAGGAAAGTGGCGGTGCCACGACTAAGGGCGGCAGTGAGTTGCACGCTGCTCTTCGGGCCAGCCGCTCGTTTGGCGAGCTGCCGCCCCTTCCCGGTGGACTGCGCGCCATTCGTGCTGGAACTGGTGGGGGTACAGGGGATGGCCGATCCTGCGATCAAGCGTAATGGACGTGAAGTGATATAGTGTATTGTGCCTGTATGCGTGATGCAAATCTACATGCAGCTCCATAATGCAGCTCTATCATGCAGCTCTATCATGCAGCTCTACGTGGATTAAAGTGTATGTAGCTGTGCTCACATAATTAAGAAACACATGCCTGATAAAGGAAGGTAGCTGCACAAACACAAATACCGTATCTAATTGCATACTGAATGTGCTTTTTTTCCGAAGAAAAAAAAATCAGAGCAATGTTGGGGGTGTGTTTATTATGCCGTGCAAATTTTATGAAACTTTTCCGGGACGAGCAAAATATGCGGTAATGAAAAAAAGGTTAGGTCGTTTAGCCTTTCGTGACTGACATATGCGTACACTGTTTGGAAACAGATTCTTTGTTGCACTTCACTCATCTTCAGTGGTTAAAGGCGCTATCTTCTACAAGCTGTCCCTGGGCCACCCGCGCACTCCATCAAAGCGATTTGTGGCTCTCTTTTTTCGCAATCGTTTGACTGCAATAGTGGCATCTGCTGTGATCTCGAGGGGCGCCCATAAACATGCACTACGATGCACTTTGCCAACTTCATGGCAACCTTGCACGACGACTGCGATGACGCTGTTGACATTGTAGCAAGCTACCACCGAAGCATCAGAACAAACTGTCAAATAACAAGATTGACTCGATGTCCACATAAGAAGTTACTGCAGAAAAGGTAGCCTATATGTTGCGTTCCTTGAAGTACGTACGGATAACAAGCTTGAAGAACAAATTGTAACGGAAACGAGAATTGCGGGTGCTAACATGTTGCGGAAATCTTCACGCTCCTTTCTGGGCAACAAGTGATTTTTTTTTTTGTTTTTGTCACGATTTAATTAGGGAGCGCTAGCAAGAAACTTGATTGAGAGATGGGAGACGGGAGTGTCAAAACAAATGCAATTCATACAAAGGACGAACAGAACTAGTACACTGACTTCGCATTAAGCACTCAAAAATTAACTTAATAACACAACCTATACAGTCAACAGCCGATTTTTCGGACACTCGAATTTTCGGACATGCCCGATAATTCGGACATCTTCGCGGCACCGCCACGAGCCCCATAGAATCAATGTACAAGGAAGTCTGAAATTTCGGACGCTCGAATCCTTCGGAGTCCAATTTTCCGGTCTTTTCGACACAACGGAAGGTCGGAAACCACCACTGACCTCCAGTGGAAACAACCACAACTGCGTCACACGCCGGTCTACTGTGGCGGCATCTGTTGCTTGGACTCATTGATCGTTAGCAGAGAAATACACACGGCCTCCGAGATTTCTAACACTGGCCGTGTTTATCGTGCAAAGGTGCTTTGCTGACAATTGAAACTATCCACCCGGAAATTTTTTGGTGCCAATAAAGCTCCTTTCGCTTCAGCGCTTGTGCTCGTGCGTGCCACTCTGGCTTCCCGCGCAGCGCTTTCGCGAAGCGTTTCACCACTTCGAACTAGAACTAACCGTCACACACCGATTTGGTCTGGCCACGCTGGCTATCTTGAATGTTTACCAGCGCCACCTCAGAAGTGCTCGAAGCACCGTCACCTGCCGTCGCGCCGTTTTTTTTTTACGCAGCCCACATGGTGTTTGGCTAGCCTAGTGCGTGGTTGTGTGATCGTGTGAAGTGTGCTCTGCAACGCTAAGCTAACGGTAAGAGGCTTCGACGCTCGTCAGCAAACTCCTTTGTTCACATTATGAGGATTTCGTCCTCGCCGATGGCATTGAAGCGCGGAAAACAGTACCGTCGGTTAGCGATGGAGAAGAAAGCTGCCATTATTAAGTTAGTGAAGAGTGGCCGATCGCAGGCTGACGTGAGCAAGGAGTTTGGAATTTCCAAGCAAACAGTTTCCGATTTCCTAAGGAACAAAGACAAGATCACGGAAGCGGCCGAAAAACCGTCTGGTGCCCAAAAGATGAATGCAAGCCAAGGTGTTCATCCAAAGCTTGAGGACGCTCTCGTCGTGTGGCTTAATTCAATGATTGCCAAGCGGCTGCCAGTCTCGGGCTGCATCTTGAAACAAAAAGTGGAAACTCTCGTGCTTTCAATGAACATCACGGATTTTAAGTTCAGTGATGGATGGCTGAGAAACTTTAAGCATCGGAATGACTTCGGGCTCAAGAAGATGTGTGGCGAAAGCGGCGCCATCGACTGTGCAGTTATTGCACAGTACCACAGTAGAAAACTCCAGTCTTTGTTGCAGCAGTTCTCTGCTGACAACATTTTCAACTGCGACGAAACAGGCTTGTTTTACAAGCTGCTGCCGGAAAAAACACTTGCTTTTGCTAGTGACGCATGCCATGGTGGCAAGCATAACAAAGAACGGCTGACCGTTCTTGTCGGCAGCAACTTGTCTGGCAGCGAGAAACTTCCTTTGTTAGTAATCGGGAAGTCCAAGAGCCCGAGGTGTTTTAAAGGGGCAACGCTGCCAATGTTATATGAAGCCAACAAAAGGCATGAGTAACGCAGGAGTTGTTCGAGAGTTACGTCCGCAGGTTGGACAGGAAGTTTGAACAACAGAACAGACGTGTTCTGCTCTTCGTTGATAACTGCAGCTGCTTATGATTACATCAATAACTTGAAGGCTATCCAGCTGGAATTCATGCCGCCCAACGTGACTGCGATCCTCCAACCGATGGACCAAGGCGTTATCCGTGATCTGAAACTTTTGTACCGTTCATGTATACTCAACCGCATGGTGCTGTGCTCGAAAAACAGGAAAGGCTACAGCGTTGACTTTCGGTCTGCTGTCGGAATGCTTGCGGACGCATGGAAAGAAGTAGCGCAAGACACGCTTCGCAACTGCTTTCGCCACGCGGGCTTTGCCCTCTCATGGACGAGATTATCAACGACCTCCACTCTGCTGGTGCTTCCATGCCCACGGAAATAACTTTTGAGCGGCTCGTCGACGCTGACAACGAGCTCGACTTCTGCGCAGAGCTAACCATTGATGAAATAGTCAGTAAGGTTATGGCGGATTCAGACGACTCTGATGTCGAAAAAGAGGAACCAACGCCTGCGCCACCTACAACCGCCGAATTGATGCGAACATTGATGACGCTGTCATCGGTGTACAGTGATGACATGATTCTTGCTCAGATCGAGGCGAATGTGATCACATGCAAGCGGAACGCCGTTCAAACAAGGATCAACAAGTTTTTCAAGCCACTGCAGCTCTAACACCGGCTGCCCTGACGGCACCTCCCACTGTCGGCTGCATGCATTTCTTTAACGGCTCTTTTCAGAGCCACCCCACTGATGCTTTGGTAGAGTTCCGGAAGTCTGGTACTTAGACCTTGACCCTCTTGATCCAAGAAATATCAATGAAATGATGCGTTTTTTGCTTGCATTGAGAAATATTAGCAAAATGGTGCGTTTTTTTTTGCTTGCATTGAAAATTATCAGTAAATAATGCGTTTTTTTTGCTTGCATTCATTTTTTCGGACTGCCCGAATTTTCGGACGGTTTTTCGCTCCCTAGAGGGTTCGAAAAATCGGCAGTTGACTGTATATACACCAGTCTGCTACAGATTGAAACCAAAGCTAACTAGAATATGCGTAGCACCAACTCTAACCCTATCCAACAACTATCTGAAATGGCACCTCTGTAAGAACACGTTCTTACAGTTCGTCGTGTTGCCACATCGACTACGTGCCCATGCCGGGTTGATGGTTAATTGATTTTGTTGTCGACCTCTTCGCCAAGTTCCTACAGTCACCGTCTTCTTTGGCCGAACGAGCCGGCTCGACCTTATTGCCAGTTGGTTCTGGTCTTCGTCATCTTCTTTGGGTCAGTTAAGCTCTGCCTAACTAGTCAACGGCGTCTTCTTGATCATGGTGCGAGCCGCATACATTCTGGCTCAAAGTGGAGAACTGCGGTGAAAGGAACTGCGGTGAAAGGTTGCGGCAAGACCGGGCAGCCTCACTCAGGACCTTTGAGGTCGACGGCCACTTCCCGAGCCTCTCACACCGACATCCTCCAGAACAGGGCAGCTACTGCTTTCGTCGCTGAAGCGATGCTGACCTTGATGACCTTTGTAGTTCAAAACTCCACACCACAGTGACAGCTCATCCCTCAAGATTTTCCATTATGGCATAGGTTGCGTGCCCAGAGCCTTTTTGTCCAATCTTGTACGTGAACGTAGCGCTCAAGCGCGTCATCGGGGCTCTCGCGCACAGACGCCGCATTCCAGCGCCTGGCACCTGCCTCTTGCCCTCTTACTCATGACAGTTGGCCGTATACCTGCGATGCGATGGTGACGAATGGTCATGGTAACAGCAAATCCTGTCGTTGCTAAAAAATCATGGGCATGTGGTTGGGTGTTAAATTTTCATATTTGCAGGAAGCGACCGTTGGGTGGTGCGGGCAATTTTGTGACCTTTGCTAGCTGTGTGCTTATCAACTGCGATGTCGCTACACTCGCGTCATTCATAAACCTTGCTGTAGCGTACAGATAATAAAAAAAGACTAGGGTCATGCTGTACGCATATAGAATGAACAATATGGTGCGCATCAGCGGGCGAATGGGGGGAGGGAGTGAGCTGAGGTGCCCTAGGGGGGTTGGCATAATAATAAAAAAACAAAAGAGATCCAATGCACAAGAATCCTTCAGGTGTGGGTTAGCGAGACAGCAGCGAACGAATTTAGGGGATGTGTTTATAACACAAGAGGAAAAATCGAGATTTTGATGACTGAAGTTGGGAATGCATTTATTATACGAGTGCGTTCATTACGTGAGTAAATACGGTATTAGAGAGAGATCAAAACAACACAAGTGCTAATAACTGAAAAGCAGTACAGAGATGGGATAGAAACTAGATGCGAAAACTCCTCTGCACAGGCTACGGTACGGACCTGTCAATCGAGCACCTGGGGCTACTGCGTGAGAAATGAACTAGTGAGGCATTTCAAGTTATTTACAGGCAAGTTAATGGACGGTTGGCTCATGCGTGTTAAGCCACAAGGAAAGGTCTTCACTGACAAGGCAAACCACGAGGAAAAGTCTTCACTGGCAAAAGGAACATTCGCCACTAAAAGATAAAAACAATTAAGGTTAACCAGCTTGATGCAAAGTGAAGCAGCTCATGACAGTTCATGATGCGACCATAGTTAAGCGGCTCGTGACAGCTCATAACAGAAGATAATGAAGTACCATTGCCTTATGAATGTTTACGTTTTTAAACATTTAGAAATTACTGCGCACATGAAATAGGGGGTATAGAAGAAGTTGACTGGTTTAAAGCAGAATGCTTTAGAGCTCAAACTAAACAACTTTTCCTTCCATAAAAATGCACATTTAATTATTATTGTTATTGTTGTTCAGGTTTAATGCCCAAAAACCATTTCAACACACTCAAAAAAAGTAAAAAGTTGGAGTGAGGTTGTACTACAGTCAACTGTGTTATATCTATTTCTAGGTCACAAATCAGATTGTTACGCATGATCAGCCTTATTTATAGTTTATTGGAAGTAACAAAAACACTTACATCAGCTGGCGGAGCCTCGCAGGGTCTCTGCGGTTGGCTGGTACACCTGAACTGCATATCACTCCTGAAAAGAGGCGGTACCCAACGACACTGTTAAGCAGAGCCACAGCAGACTGTGAAAGACCACACCATTTTCATCCTCAATGCCTTATGAAAACTAAGGGGCACGCACAGTATGAATTCAAATCTTGACATAGCAATGAGGGTGGTGTTCGTTGTCTGCGCTACCATCCATCATCATTGACATAGCAAACTATTAGCAAGAGAAAATTACTTCAGACAATCAATCAATCAATCGATAAGTTAGTGGCCTGGTTATATCAGATCATAAAGTAATAGAATGAAAGACAGTATTGACTACATATGCATTTTGATACTACAATCAATAAATTAACCAATGAATGAATCAATCTTCTAGCCACCTTGCTAGATCTGATGGTACAGTGACTGTGAAATACAGATACCATGTGAAAGAAAAGAGTAGGTATATATGCACTGTTTCACATCTTCACATAGTGGAGAATTAGCAAGAGATGTAAACCAGCTACAGTCAATCTATCAGCTACACTTCTGGTTAGCTCGTATGCTTCTGGATTATTCAATCCAAGACTAGGAAAATTACTTTGATCAACTCCAATACTACCTTCTACAGCAACCCATACAGTTTCTTCTGGAGTTCTGTTCTGCACTCGGATAAATTTTTTTTCTCTTCTAGCTTAAACCTGATTTCAGTGTGCTTTGTCCTTGCCATTCTTGATGTGCATGCTGTTGGAGGTTAAGGCAATTGTAAAAGCCTCTTAATGAATCTTTCTGTGCTCAGTTTCATTACTAAATATTATAAAATGAAAACAGCAGATTTTCAGTTAAGCAAAATTAATAAGGTTACATAAATTACATATTGAAACTGGACTATGATTATGTTTGTGATATTCATATCTGCCAAAAGAGTGAAATATACAGCATAACAAAAAACAAGGACAGCGTGCACTAGTGGTGCAAGGCAAGACAAACAGTGGCACTTGTAACTGACCTAGATGATTAACAAGGTCTCAATTAAAAATCTTGATTGGTAATCTTAATTAGTACTCATATTATATATAGATCTTAATTATTGTGGTGTTAACAACATCCTATCTCTCTCTCTACCAGCTCCTGCATTTGTCTATTTCTTTTTCCCTTCTTTGTCTTTTCTCCATCCGCTCTTTGCTTTAGTTTATCCAGATGGCACATGTGTTGAAGACGCCTACATTGTACATCCGTCGCGCCAACTTCAATAGGTGGGCTAGCCACAGGCCTTATTATCTGCCACATTACCAGACAATAAAAAACAATCTTTCTCATTAATGCACCTACCGTTATGTTAATGATGACGATAAAGCTGACTGAACAAGCAAAGCTGTGTCCAATAGACAGTTTTAGCAAAAAGAAAATCGAATACAGCCTCTGAAACTGGAAGAGCATGTGGGCTTCCGATATTGAATGCAACACAACTAGCCATTGCAAGCCAAACGTGACCAAGTTGCTGAAAAATCCATCATGGCAGCTTTCAAAATCGAGCAGAATGGCTCAAAACGAGTCATGTAATCTGGAAAATCGAACTTTCGGCCATATATTTGCCCGAAAGATTGGTTGCAGTAAGGCATTCGTGCTATGGGAATCATGACAGTGCATTTCCAACAAGTCCAAATTTTCGGAGTCCTGAAAAATCTGTCTGCCTCTGTATAGGGTGTTTTTCACAAGCCTTTTCAACCAATACTGTATCTTTTTGGTTGAACACTTGACTGCCACAATGAATAACCTGGTTTGATTTTGACTGAAACGTCCAACTTCTATTTGCTACATCCATTGCAATTTTTTGTACATGGACAGTGCTACCGACACCGGAATTTCTGTGACACCAGCTCTTTAATGCTATGAATGCCGAGAGTGCTCAGTGTGATGACTTTCGTTGCTTTTTCAAGCATCCTCCATTTACTTACTTGCATGCTTCAGTTGGGCTGTGATTATCGGAGCCCGATAGCGCGTGGCCGTGCATAGCTTACCTTGCTCGAGCCTTGGCGTACGACGGCACCTGCTGGCCCACAGCCGGTGCGGGCCCTCCCCTTTGGAGCAAGCTACCAGTGCTGCCCCCAGGCGATCCTAGGTCTGATCCCGCGCTGCTGTCGTAGTCGGGGCCAAAGTAGCTGCAGTTCTGCAGGGGGCAACCTCTGTGCAGCGATGAAAAAAAAAAAAAAAGTACAGTAAACTCTCAGTAAATGGAAATCGGGTTAACATAATTGCTGCTTAAATGAAAGAACCGACTTCAGCACGACTGGTTTCATACATGGATTCTCCACTCTTGTTCATCTCTCAGTAAATGAACTCCTGTTAAATGAAACATATTTTCCTGGTCCCTTCAGGTTCTGACGAGAACCTACTGTAGAGACAATTACAAGTTGAGGCCTTAAACTCAACAGAGGTCCCGAGAAAAAAGGTCCCAATTTCACGGCACTCAAGTTGACGTGATGGAAACATTTGTCTCATGGCTGCTACCGAGCACACATTCCATTCTCGCCTACCTCCGTGGGCTGCCGTCCTTGTGCGGAGGCACGACTGTGACGCTGACCATGACGGACGTCTTGAGCAGGTCCACCATCTGGTCATAGCTGAGGGTTGCCACAGCCACCTTGCAGATCTGCAGTAGGAGACACCAACCACTGTGTTTAGTTTACTAATTTGTCCTACATTAAAAAAAAAAAAAACTACTGGATATTTCACTTGATATGTTAGAAGAGCTGCAACACGATTGTACAGCACTGTGGAACACCATTATGCACTATTCCTACAGACATCGAAGCACCGTGGTGCTGAGGTCTTAATCTTGTCATCATAGTTTAATTCTCTAAGCATGCTGTCTCAATTCATAGAAGCAGCGTCAACTGATAGGCACAATGTTCAATCCATTCCTTCCAATGTTATGCTTTCCTTCCTTGTTCCGTGCTTTTACGTTCACGTTGTTCTTAACATGTAACAGCTGCAGTTTACTGGTATCCACTTACAAAGCACAAACCCGGAAGCTTACAAAGAGGGTTCAAATTAAATTGAGGACGCCGCAGCGAATGATGGAAAGGAAAATTATACGTGTAATTTTAAGAGATGGGAAGAGAGCAGAGTGGATCAGAAAACAAACTGGTGGTTAAGGATATAGTTGAAATCAAAAGAAATGGACATGGGCCGCACAAGCAGCGTGTAGGCAGATCAACTGCTAGTGATTTAAGGGTAACTGACTGAATTCCAAGAGAAGACAGACACGTCAGAGGGGACAAAAAATAAGATGGGCAGATGAGATTAAAAGTTTGTGGGTATAACCTGGCAGCAGAAAGCACAGGACTGGGTTGATTAGCGGAACATGGCAGAGGTCTTTGCCCTGAAGCTGATTGAAATCTAATGTTGTCCTAAGTTTGTTAGCAATTACCTTCGTAAACAGCTGGTGTAGAATGCAGTGCTAGTTGATAGGCCGGTATTTCGTCAAGGCCTCGTCGTCCCCTTTCTTATGGATTAAAATGATGATAGTAGCATTCTTTGATAATTATGATACCCTTCCCTTCAGGAGAAATTCCGTAAACAGGGTGGCCAGCTTTTTTAACCCAATCTGTCCCCCGTCTTTCAGGAGATGTGATGTTACCTGATACTCGCCAGCAGCTTTGCCTCTTTGCATTCCCTCCAAGACTTTCCTGACTTCTGTCATTACTGGATGGGACGTCATCTGGGTTACTGTAAGTCCGTACATTGTGATCGTGGTTGCCCTAGCTACTGTAAAGATCTCTATAAAACTCCTCTGCTACTTTTTAACTACCCTATCCATATTAGTAGGTACTTTGCCTTCCTTGTCCTTTAGGGCATACAGCTGGTTTCTGTCTTTCGCAAGTTTTCTCCTTACCGCTTTGATGCTTCCTTCGTTATTTAGAGCATCTTCAATTCTCTCCATGCTATATTTTCTTACAACGGATACTTTCTGCTTAATAACCAATTTTGAAAGCTCTGCCAGTTCTATTTTGTCTGTTGTGTTCCCAGCTTTCAGACTTTGACGTTTCTTAATGAGGTTCGTCTCCTAGGACAGCTTGCTAGTATCCTGTCTAACTAATGTACTTCCAACTTCCACTGCGTACTGCGTAATGATACTCATCAGATTATCGTTCATTGCATCAAAGTTAAGGCTGGTTTCCTCGATAAGAGCTGAGTGCCTGTTCTGAAGCGAGATTCTGAATTCCTGTACTTTCCTCTCAAAGCTAGCTCATACAGTGGTTTCTTACATACCAGTTTATGTCGTTCCTTCTTTAAGCCTAGATAATTAAGGGGAGACACTGGTCTGAAAATTTTTTTTTAATTTTCAGTATGTCCAGCTGAAATTTTAATACAATATGTATTTTTCACAGCTGAAAACAAATATGCAATTAGTTTTTTGCTATCACTTTTAGATTTTTAAATATTCACTGTTACATAAACTTGCATTCTGCCCATTCCTTTTGACATCTTCCTCATAAAATATTGCTACAAACTTGATATGACAGCATTCCATGAAGGCCAGGGAGTGCAACAAAACCATAATTTTATTTTTAGCTTCATTGGTACCAGAGCTATGGCCTTGACAAGTATACTCATTAGAAATCTGAAACTGTTGCTTAAGTTTGTTGCTAATTAAATCACTATTGTACATAAAAATATTACATTTCTTTGGTTTTCTTGCACTAATGAATGTATAGGCTTTCAAATGCTACAAGAATTATCAAAATCCGACTGCTACATCAAAAGATACTGCTGGGCAATGGCTTAGGGTGTGATGAAAAATGTGCTTTGATAAAACGAGAAAACAAGCTTAGGAACATGCTGAGCACTTATATTTAACAAGAAAAGGTGTGAATCGGTGTATTAACCATGTTAGAAGCCACCAGGAATGTAGTCATCATCATTCTCCTTGGTGCGCTTTCTTTTCATGGCATGCTTGAAGCTTTCAGCATGCTCATGCTTCTTCTCCGATGCCACTAGTCAGCGACTGTCCTTTTCTGAGCATCTTTCAGCGGCCACAACACTCTGCTGCAAGTGCAGCTCCTTCAATATGGCGGCATCTGCTCTCCCTTTGCCAGCGTTGAACCTTGCGACAGCTTCGGCCACAGCAGCTTCAACGGTGAAAAGCGACTCGTGTTTGTTTTTGGACACGAGCGACCAGATGACGGAGTGCAGGCTCTCGTTTGGGTTCTGTGTTTTGCCTCGCTGACAACGCTCCAGCAATTTCTTGTCAGAGAGGCGCGTGTAAATAGGCCGCAAGGCATCAACCACATACTCCGGCAGGTTGTAGCGATGATTCAAAGGAGTCTCCTGCTTGGCAACAGCCTTGTTGTACTTGCACCATGACTCTCCACCAGTTGGGCAGTGAGAGTGCCGAGGGCTTGCATCAGTAGATGCTACGTGATAAAAGGTTGCCCAGACAGCATTATTCATGGCCTCAATGCTTCCTTGGTTGCTTTGTAAAGCCCATCCATAATATGACGTGAGCTTTGTGACCAGCTAGCCTGTCAGTTTGCCCTTGCCGCCAAGGCTTCGCTTTCCTTCGGCTCTTTGTTTTTGCAGGAGGTTTCGAAGTGCTGTGCCCACGCACTTATGCACATGGTTGACACAGTTCTCTTTTTCTGTTGGCACGAAGCCATATACCTGTGCCTCCTGCAGACTGCTGAAGGCCGGGCTGTCTCCATCACACAACATGGTTGTGTAGCGGAGCCCATGTCTCTCCAATGAGCGGCCAAATAAAATTTGTGCTATTTCCACCTCCATTTGTCCTGGCTTACTGGAGGTATTCTTTTGGCAAGTGTGACCAGCTAGCTACTTGGCATACCTTGGGTTGTCCTCCTTCGGCCCTAGCTGGCAGCCCAAACAAAAGTTCGATAGGACGACGAAGTCGAGCACGTAACCCGTGAATAGTTCAATCACGGTCCCTACACAAATATGGGATTTGTGGCCCCTGGTCAGCCAAGTCCCATCAAAGGAAACGGCGATATTTCCAGGATTTCCATAGTTGAGTTCGGAATACACCGTTTTCACGGTGCTTGCGCAGTCGTCAATAACGCGCGCGGCAGCCTTATGCGTGGCAGGGTTCATTTTCAATTTCACATAATCCTGGTATGTCTTGGTGTGCAGGCCTCTCCGTGAAATATTTAGGGCTGAAAAAATATCGTTGAGCGCAGTTTGCCCGTTTCCTGTGCTCATTGCCGCGCGCACCGCGAGCACGTTAATTTCGAAGGGGCCGTGCGCTGCGTCCCCCCCTGCTCTCGACGAGCTCCATAAGGTCCTTAGTTTACTGCACTCGTCACATGTGAGAACAAGTTTCGCGGCTATGCCATATTCGCGGTCTTCCTTGGAGATTCTGCCAGGCCCGCCACACACACCCCACTTCATACACTGAAGAAGTTCGTTGACCAACTCTAAGCTAACGACGGTGAACGGCGTACCAGGCGTTGCGGCTCCATCCGAGTCTCGAAAAAAAAAAAGACCATTTGCATTTTGTGGCAGACTTCGATGAAAGATCTTGCAGAACATCGCTCGCACGACACTCGATGGCCACTTTTTCAGCGTCGGAAACCAGGGGAGTGTCGACGCGCACAGCTCTCGTGTGATTTTGGGACGCGGCTATCGCGTCCGCGATCGCGGGTGCCGCGGTGGTGATAGTGCTGGCACAGCCTGCTTTTTCCGAGTTCTCGGCGGCAGGAGGTCTCGCTGGTGATAAGGTGCGGGCTCTCGGACGCCGTTTTCGCCTTTTTCCGAACGCATGAGCACTCCGGAACTTCCGATGACCGCCTGCCATTGCACCGAATGCACAGCCGTTGTTAGGCCTCTACGCAAAATGGCGGCTTGCACGCCGCTGTCTAGCAGACGAATCCCTTCACGTCCAATAGGAAACCGGGAACTGCCCCACGTGACAAAAACGCACCAATGATGAGCGAGTATTCAGTTTTTCTTTATGCATAATAGCTGCGTTGTTGCTAGACAAAAAACGTTCTTCTGCTAGGAATAGAGAATAAAAAAAAATGCGTCTTTCAAATGAGACCAGAATGGTCTCGCTACTTGGTGCGGTTCCCGCGCACTGCGGCGTTGAATACGACCGTTTTTGAGGTGGTTTCGGAAGCGAAAATGGTCATCAAACTGACTTTGCGACCCAATAACTCGACAAATACGCATTACAGGGCTATAATATTTTAGGAACAGCTTCTTTAGACCTTTAATGATTATGAAAAAAAATACTTCAAAAAATCGGTTTTTCGGAAAATTTTCGGCCTCCCATACCCGTGTCTCCCCTTAACATTATTTCTTGCCACGCTTTATATTGAGTGACATTGTGAAAGGGACCATGCAATACATTTTTAAGTACCCTTCGTAGACCTCAATATCGGAGTTTATTGCATCCCGAATTGACTGCTGCAAAACATTTTTCCAAGTGTGTCAAGTATGAGCCGAATTACAGAAGTTTAATGTACAGCTTAAGGGCGGACGTGCCTTTCAAAACGAATAGAAACTAAAAATGGCCTCACAGTGCTTCCATGAAAATTTCGAGGTGATCACCCAAAAACTTAATGAGATACAAGTTATTTCTTCATTGAACTTCGTGGAGGGGCTGGTGGACTTATAAAATGCAAAAATAGTAAT